AAGTTTTTACAGGTAAGGGGTACATCAGCTAACATTGACTTTCAATAAATTAGAAAGAATACTATTAGGGCTAAAAGTAGTGAATTTAATTGTAATTACCCTTTTCTATCGAGCAACATATTTTAACCTTTGGCTTCTGCAGATGAGGAACTATTGGAGGGAAGGAAAACAAAAGGGTCAGAGAAGGATGTGGATGGTAAGGAGGTTATAGGTATAGGTGATTCCTTGACAAGACATGTGGATAGGACTGTCTGTCGTGTAAATAAGGAGAAAATAATTAGATTATGCTACCCAGGGGCACAAGTGGAGGATATAACTGACAGAGCAGGAGATATGGGGCTAGCAGATATGCAGTTTTTGTTGTGCACGTACTGATGTAGAGAAAGTTAGGTCAGAAGAACTAATTAATAAGTACAAGGGGTTGATAACGGTATTCAAAGAAAAAAGGCCATAACTTAATTTTGTCAGGGATACTGCCCAGAATTAATTGTGGGGATGAAGTTATAGGTAGGTCACTAGGGCTAAATTCTAGGCTTAGGTTAGTATGTAAAGATGGGCAGATTGGCTGGTTGGACTTGTGGAATCAGTTCAATGGAAAAAGGGAGCTTTTTGGAATGAATGGTTTACATTTGAATAGGATAGGGCTGGTTTATTTGCTAGGGCTAGTAACTCAGCTGTAAGGGAAGTTTTAAACTAGGACTAAACAGTGGTGAGGGCCAGGATAAACTAAATTCAAAAAGAATAAGAGGCAGAGAAACGTTTAGCATAGAGAATGAGTATAGGTGCAGTTATAAGGGTAGGCTTAATTGTTACTATTGTAATGCTAGAAGTGTAAGAAATAAAATAGATGGATTTAGAGGATTTTGATATAATGGGAATAACTGAAACATAGTTAAACGTAGATGATTTTGATGACAGAAATCTCTTCGAAATACAGGTTTACAAGATATTTAATAGGGATAGAGTATTAAAGAAAGGGGGAGAAGTGGCTTTATACGTAAAATGTGAGTTACATCCTGTTCAAGTTGAGGTAAATCAAATATAATAGCAAGGAGATTGAATCCATTTGGATTTCTATTAGCGGATATAAAAGTAAAAGTACTTTTAGTTGGAATTTGTTACAGATCACCAGATGATACTGATCAAATTAATGAGAAACTTTACAATGAGATTAAGATTTCAGCTGTTAATAAAGTCATAATTATGGGTGACTTTAATTTCAGGCATATAGATTGGGAAATGTTAGAGTCACACCATGAGGAAGAAAGGTTTTTGATAACTGTTCAAGTTAGCTTTATTCACCAATTAGTCAATCAACCTACTAGAAACAATGCTATTTTAGATTTATTGTTAACTTCAAATATAGAAATGAGCGAGAGGGTGGAAATTAGGGAACATCTGGGTGCAAGTGATCATTACTCTATTAAGTTCAATGTTTTGCTGCATATGGAGATAAGGAATAATGATATTTTGGTTGCAACTTTCAAAAAAGAAAATTTTGAGGAGATGTGACAATAATTATCTTTTGTGAATTGAGCAGCTGAGTTATTTGGAAACATTTAACAAATGTGGAAAACGTTTAAAGATAAATTTTTAAGTATTCAATGTAAACATGTTTCTTAAAGAAAAAAAAGGTTAGCTGCAAGTAAAAAACCAGGTCGGCTCATTAAGAGTATATAAGATAAAATTAAAGAAAAGCATCATACATGTATGAAATTTAAATTGACTGATATGACGGAAGATTTCGAAAATTATATATAAGATCAAGAAAGTTGGTGAAACAGGAACTCAGGACATCAAAAAGGACGTATGAGAAAAGGTTGGCTGAAAACGTAAAAAGTAAAACTAAGTTTTCTTTAAATACATTAAGGGTTAACAAAATGTTAGGATGGGGTAGGACTTTTGAGGAATGATAAAGGAAAGCTCGTATCGGATGATTATGAGATGGCTGGGTTATTAAATTTTGCATTTTCTTCAGTTTTTACTAACGACGATATAAGCAGTATTCCACATCTTGAACAGTTGAGAGATGGAAACGAGATCGAACAAGATGACTGCATTAATTCTGAGCTGGTTAAAACAATTTCAAGGGAGGCGATAAAACTGTCCCAGCAATCTTACATCATTTGTGGAAAGAGATTGGGAAAGTCTGTTAAAAGATACTTGCAAAGCCATTTAACAAAGTTTAGAATTTTATTGGATAATAAACATGGTTTCAAAGGAAACTCTTGCCTTACAAATCTTTGAACATTCTTTGAAAAGGTTACTACTTATGTAGATGAGTTGGTGTATCTGGATTTTCAGAAAGCATTTGACAAGGTGCCACATAAATGGTTTGTAAAAATTATCTCTATAGGTGTGAGGGATAAGTTAACAAATTGGATAGATGAGTGGCTGGATCGAAGAAAGAAGAGGGTTGTTACAAATGGAGTTCAGTCAAACTGGATTAATGTCACAAATGGGATATTTCATGGCTCAGTCTTAGGACTTTTGCTCTTTTTGATTTATTTCAATGACAAAGATGAAGGAATGGTCAGTAAATTACTTACATTTGCAGATGATAATAAAGTCTTGGGTGTTGCTAGCTGTGAAAAGGATGCTGCTCTTTTATAAAAGGATTTAGATCATTTAGTGAGTTGGGCAAATAAATGGCCAATGGGTTTTAATTATAATAAATGCAAGATAATGCATGTGGATTATCATAATTTGAATTATAACTATAATTTGGGTGGGAATAACCTTAACAGTGTTGTGAAAGAAAGGGATGTTGGTGTAATGGTTGATCAGTCTCTTAAGCCATCCAAGCAGTGTGCTTTTGCTAGTGGTAGGGCAAATAGGATTTTAGGTTGTATCTACAGAAATATTTAATACAAGTCTAAAGAGGTTATAATTTCATTGTATAGGTCATTGGTTAGGCCACATTTGGAGTGATGTGTTCAGTCTTGGGCTCTTTACCTTAGGAAGGACATTGAATTGTTGGAAAGGGTTCAGAGGAGGGTTACTAGAATGGTGTCTGGAATAAAGGGTTGTCATACGAGAAGAGATTGAAATTTCTCAAATTGTTTTCTCTTGAAAAAAGAAGAGTTAGAGTGGATCTGACTGAGGTGTTTAAGATCGTAAAGGGAATTGATAGTATTGGTGCATTATCTTTTTTCATACTTAACAGTGAGAATAGTAGGACTAGGGGACAAAAATAAAAAATTTGGTAGGGTAGGAGTCATGTTTAGCTAAGACACTTTATTTTTCTAACAAGGTTGGCCTTCGGAAAGGGTTGCCTTTGGTCGTTGTGGAGGCAGTAAATTTAAGAGAAAGTCTGATAAATATATGAATGATAAGGGCTGGTTTTAAGATTTTTCTAAGTAGGTCACATGTTGTCCCAAAACATTATGTTATGTTATCTTGCTTACTCTTTTTCCCCGCTTCAAGCAATGAGCTAATAAGGAGAATTATTAGGTTATCTTTCTGTAATAGCTATGTTCTGCAAACGCAGTTTAATTACACTAAATAAAAACTGCTACTGGAGAAAACTCAAATGATTCGGGGTAATTTGATGGTGCTGATTTTAAAAATGTAGTCAGAATTTGTCCATCACCTTAAATTTTGAGTTATTGTAATGTCTCAATATTTTATCAGCACTATGTGAAATACCATGCAATCAACTCAGTAAAATAGATTTATGCTGTAAAGTTAAGTTTACTTAGACAATTTAATGGATAAAAGGCATACATTTTTGATAACTTCAAACATTGACTGTATTGTATTGATGTAGAAATTCTAAAGATTTTGTTGATATATGCTATTTGTTATCGAAATAATTTCAGTGAACTGCACCACTTTTTCTTCATTCACAAGCTCACCTGCTCCACCCGGGAATCACGAAACCCTCACGTTCTCAGTTTGCTAGAAAATTCGAGAAATCCCTCGACTGAGCATAAAAGAGTCGGAGTCAGACGCCTCTCACACACTCAGTTGGTCATTTCACCTCTCTCCTCACACAGTAAAACAAAGTCCTATCTTCTTCCTCACATCATACCCAGTGATATAATCACATTCTGTAAAACTTTATTTTTTAAAATCTTTTAAACTCTAGTTCTGTAAAAATAAATTCTTATATATATTTTAGAAAATCATTTGAAATGCTGACTGCTTCCAGTTGAAGTAAAGTCCAAAAGTACAAAAATCACCCAAACAGTTTCTGATATATTTGTGGCAAATATATCGCCGTTTCACGAAGAAAAATATCACGCAAATAATAAAGATAGCTTACTACCACTATTTTGGGTTGAAAATTGGTGACAAAAAAAAATTAGGCTCCACGTGTGTGTTGTACAGTTTACATATCCTGCTTGACAAAGTGGCTGAATAAGGGTAAAGCAAGTATGCCATTTGCAGATCCAATGATATGGCGTGAGCCCAAAGAAAATCTAAATAACTGTTATTTTTGCATGACTAATGTTTCTGGATATTCAGGCAAAACTAAACAATACATTAAATATTCAGGTATTGCATCTGCATTGAAACCGATGCCTCATGGGGATGGTCTTCCACTAACACATCCACCAGCGAATTGGGAAACAGAAGAGTTACCATGCGAAGAAGACACTGAATCATCTTTATTCTCTTCATTTAGTAATTCTATTCCAGTGGCACCGCACCACAAACTGCCTCATCTGTTCACACATAAAAAGTGCTAGATGATCTGTTTCGTGATTTGTCTCTATCAAAGCAGCATATATAAGAACGTTTTGAATAAATCTATTATAACTTGAACACTAGAGGTGATCAGTAATTTTGAACATGATTTTTTAGAATCAGCATCGTCACATTACTCAAAAACAGTTGCACTTTTTCTAGTAGAAGAGACAATTTGTGTTGTTGTTGCTCGTTGTTACCTAAAGGTTAAGTGGTCTTTTCTGACAGGCTTGTGATATTGTAGTTTTTAAACTGATGAATAAATAACATGGAGAAATATCACTTAAATATATAGAGGGCGTCTATAATGAGCATGGCGCGGTCCATGGGACATGATAGAACGAGACGCCCGCAATTGAATATCGAGGATGAAGAGGAAGATGATCCTGTAGAAAAAATGTTGAAAAAGACAGGATGTTTAGAACTCCATTATGCTGTGCAGGTAGAATTGTTTTAATTGTATAACACAGTATAATAATGTTCAAGTTGGTTTGTCATTGAAAATCGCTATCGCCGGTATCGGATAGGTCCAACTCATGTCGATTTTAAATTTAAGTTTTAACACTCGCTGTTCAACTGTATTTTAAATAATTTTACCACTTAAGAGAGTGCTGCTTTGGGAACATAAAGACACGCTTATCGTTATCACTGAGTGCTTTGTTCACATAGCTTAGAATAATATAATTATAAGGTTTATTTGTCGTAACTGAACTTCTCGCATTGTTGTTTTCACGAGAGCTCACACTGCGCCAAACTTAATTGAGCATTTCATTAACGGTTAAGTGCCCTCTTCATAGGCACTGAGCAAGTGTGAACCGGTTTGTAACTTTACTTGCCTACTATTATAATAAGAAGAGCATTAAGCTTTGGTACTTGTAGTTGTACAGTAACAAAAGTATCTTACTTGTTGGCCCCTACTGAATACTCCCCCCAGTCCTAATGGTTCTAACCCACTAAAAAATAATAAAGTTGCATAATTTTGTACTACACATGAAACTGAAAGTGAAATTGTTTCCTTTACCATAGGACAGACATAGTTCCTTATTCAAAATCTTGTATTTATAAAATTTTATGAAACTAAAACTTAAAAAAAAGCAAGTAGTAACAATAATTTGTTTCTGTACTTTTTACTAGTTAACACAGTATATACTACAATATAGGACTGAGAGTGATAAATCTAACTTACAATTGAGCTCAGGTTTTCTATTTTGAGGGCCAAACTAGTTTTGTTATTAGTAATATTATTGTTAGTGAGGAAAACACATTTTAACAACAAACAAAAAATAAACAGATCTCTGGGGTCATTCACACACTTCTGGGCATTGGACCTTGTCTTTAGTAGATATACCAAGGTCAGTTAAAATGACTTGCTTAGCTCCTATATATAAAACATTTAGGGTGCTATATGCAGTCCATATATTTAGACCTAAGATCAGATTGAAACCTATTTTTAGATAGAAGAACCAACTAAAAATCTTGAAGATTATAAAATTCCCAATTTGTTATTACATTATTTTACAGTAACTCATACATAGGGAAAACATGGGGCTACTGACAAGTGAGCCAAATACAAATTTTGATCCCTCTGTCACTCTCGTAGATGCCCTAAGGATGTCATCAACATTTTCTAGAGTTCAGTAAAATAGCACAGGGAATACAAAAGGGGTTTCAGATCCAGTCATAATTCCCTCATGTCATTCCTCAAGTTGATTCTAATAAATCTTGGTTGAGATTAGTCAAAAATAAAAGTGTGAATGGTAAACACACAGAGAAGGACTCCCAGAGAGTGATATAAGTGTTGGATCCAAATGCCAACCTCTTGTGTTACTCCCTGGGTGTCTTAGGGGAACAGGTACTGTAGGGGCCCCCAGAAGGTAACAGAGAAGTGTCAGATCTGAAGGTTAACTTCTATGTCACTTCCCAGGGTTCCTTCTTAGGGTGTTCAGATCCAAAGGAATGAATTATTGAGTATTAAATTAATATTCCGATCAGAGCAAGCTACCTAGTTAAAATAGGATAATGAGTATAAATAACATAAGTATACTTTTTTTACATTCTTATTTATAAAGATTAGAATGCATTGTTTCATCATTTTAGTACCTTTGCTATTAATATTTTCAGCTATAATCCAAAAATTATCTCATGATGCTCAGTCATCTTAAGATATTTAAGTTAGCTGTAAATATATATATATATATTAAGTTAACAATGCAAAAATGAAAAATAATACAATTAGATAAATTAAACATTCTTACCAATACTGTTAATGAAAACAACAATAAGTATATAATAGAGAATACCGTTCCTCTGAAACATAAAAAACAGCTGTTAACTTAAAGCTTCGTTAAACAATGCGACATTTATATAAACATGCATAACTTAGCCAAACTTCACAAATCATCCCTAAAAACATTGGCGACAAAGGAAATTCATCAGCTCCAAAATTGCAACTTTATACGAGTGTGGCTTCTGAGACAAATTAGTACAACTTATATTACTGTTTAGATGTGGAGTCAAGTAGCAGGAATGACCGACAGTATAGCCAAAAACTAATTTTTATACAGATACAAACTAATAAATTAGAAATTAAATGACTACCTAAATTGTACAATAAATAGATAGAATGTTGGTTCTTAATGAAGAAAATTTTTTACATGCAATACAGATAACTATGTTGAATATGCTACGAAGTGTGTCTAACTTAATTACTACCACTTATCTTATCTGTCATTTGAAATACATTAATCAGGCAACCAGAAGCAATAAATAAAGTTGAATATCCTGTAAAAACTGAAATGTAAATGCAATAAGCCTTGAGAAAGTTCAGTAGTAATAAGAAGACTTATGAATGAAAGTTACAACAATTGTAAGTATGGCAAAGAAAGTAATTAACAAAAACATATTCACCTTAACTGATGACATAGTAATACTATATACAGAACTGTTATGTAACTATTAGTAATTACCATAATAAAATCTTACATTAATCAAAGATAAACCATTTGTGATCAGTACACTAAAGTGGTTCACTGTTATCTTAATTTCCAAAACAAAGTGTGGTCAGTTTTGTAAAATGTCATGACGATTAGTTAATCTTTTAAACCCATAATCAGTAGCAAGAATATTGTTGCATTTCCTATAGAATTGAACAAAGTTTGTGTTTAAATATGATAGGAGAAACTGCATTTGTGAGAAATTAGTGAGTTTATGAGCTCTATCCAAGAACTCTTGTAATGTTGAGCAAATTCTGTTGTATCAATTAAGCTGTGAATAATAAACATTGTAATATAATTTATTTGGAATATTTGTATCTGTAAATGGATAATGTTAACTGTGGGGAAAAAAAAACGGTGGCTGCAAGTAAAGGTTGGTTCACAAAGGGTATAAGTGATCATATTTTTCAGAAAAAAAACATTATAAATTTAAGAAATTTAGATTGACTACCAGATGGGAGACTTAGAGGATTATAAAAGATAAATATAGTTAGGAAATCAAAAATGTATATGCAAAAAAAAAAAAAAAGGTTGACTGAAAATGTAAAAATTAACAATAATGATTGCTTTTAATACATTAAGGATAAGCAAAATGTTAGGATGCGAATAGTGTCTTTGAGGGATGGTAAAGAAAGGCTTTTTTCGGATGATTATGAGGTGGCTGGGTATTTACATTTTACTTTTTTCTTCAATTTTTATTAATGAAGATTTATGCAATATTGTTCATGCTAAACAGCTGCTAGATGGAAAGAAGATGGTCACATTAATTCTGAGCTCGTGAAGACAAAATTGGGAACTTAAAAGAATGATAAAACTTCTTGGCCAGATAATAATTCCTGTAAGGTTTAATTAAAGTTAGGGATTGGATATATGAGCCAATTGGTTTCTAAGCCCTTGAAGAGTGGGCGAAAGAAGATTGGAAGAGGGTTAATGTTACTCCTCTTGAAGGGAGGTGATGAAAATTGCCCTAGTAATTATAGGCTTATTTGTCTTACATCAGTGGTGGGAAAAGTTTTTGCAAGTCTGATAGAAAATACAAAGTTATTTCACAAAATTTAGAATTTTGTTGGATATTCAACATTTTTCTCATTAGGAGAAATCTTGCCTTATTAATCTTTTGACATTCTTTAAAGAGGTTACTGCTTATGTAGGTGAGGGTAAGGGTGTGAATTTGTTATATCTGGATTTTTAGAAATCATTTGATAAGATGTCACTTTAAAAAGGGTTGTTAAAAATATTATTTCTGTAGGTGTGGGAAATAAGTTAGCAAATAAGATGGAAGAAAGCAGAGGGTTTTTATAAATAAAAGTCTGTAAAATTAACTGATGGCACTAGGAAAAAATGAGGTTTTTTTACTGTGAAAAAAATTAAAAAACGTTTTATTTCATAGTTTTTCCTATGAAAAAGATACCAAAATGTAAACAATTGGAAATGATAATAATTTTGGAACTTGCATAATTGGCTTAATGCCTTTTTTTTTACTCATTTTATTTTTTTTTACAGGAGTGTATGGCTGACCACAAAGACTGGAGAAAATGTCAGGAACAAGTAGCTAAATTCAGAGCATGCATTCAGGCCCAACAAAGTGCTATAAAACCTGAAAGTAAAGACTAAACAACTGAAGCAAATGAGAATAAAACAACAACATTAAATTAGTGTGTGGTATTTCATTTTTAATTCCTGCAGTAAAGAAACCATAATGGACTTCCAGTCAGTTATTTTTGGTAGTTTGTGAAATAGTGTAATATCGATCTTATGATTTTATAAAAACAATGCTGAATGTTCTGTAATAGGACATCATTACTAAATATTGATAGCTGATATTTTTCAAGTTTCCAATTAAAAAAGTATTTTATCTTTTATTATTTATGTAATAAATGTTTTTGATTTGTTAACAACCATGTGGCAAATGAAATATTGTTTTTCCAAACACAGTGAATATAAATATGATGTAAAACAACTAGTGAGATAGTGTACATAAAATGACATACAATAATAACTGCATTTACATTTATCAACCAGTATGTTAAAATAACTTTATTTTCTATCATACTGAATCAAATATTAAAAGATATCCCCTTTGAACATTTTTTTTTCTTAGGCTGACAACTTATAGTATTTATCTCAATGATATAGTAATTTAAAACTTGATAACGAGGAACCCACTTTTTAGAAAATAATTTTTGAGATGGCTTGACTGGGTAATGTAAAAACTTTATTATAAATGTCAATGTTTTGACAAGATTTTGTCATTGTCAGGTACAAGTAGTTTACAGGGATACATGAGTATATATATATATGCGGTATAGACAAAGCGCTCACATGACCGGATTTTGCTTCACAATCTAATATAGGTATCTCGGTACCCTGGGGTGCTGATTTATGGTAGGGCTGTTTTCTTAAGTTAAAAAAGCTTCTTTTATTTTACATTTATTGATGTTAGGTTCTTTGTTTAAAATTACAAAATTTATTGAAAAATTTATACGTGGTAATACACTAAGCTAATCATTCATCTTCACATAAATCTTCGTCATCGCTAGAATTGTCACTACCATCGGATTTGTTTTCTTGAACCTTTGCTTCATCCTCTTTAGATTCTTACAGCATGTCATCATCTGTTCCATCCATTGCATTGGAAATGCAACATTTTTTGAAACCTTTAATGATATTCGGTGGTTAGCGTCTAGTAAAATACTTAACAAAATTGAACGTGCGCGAATATCATGCGCAGTCAAGTTTTCGGGATTTGGAGGGAGAAAAGTGCACATTATATACGGGCAAAGACGGTAATTCACTTGTGCTTATTACAGACTCAAGAGAAAGTTTGTTTTTATAGTAAACGTCCTTAAATTTTGTCTGCATGATTTTATTCATTTTAGAATATAATGTCTTTTTTTTTAAATTGTAATGTTTTTGATAAAAAAAGAAAACCAAGTTTTTACAAGTTATAAAAATGTATTTTTCTCCGAAACAAGTACTTTAATAAATGAAAAACATGATAATTGTTGAAGATTTATTTTTTTAAAAAGTTTTGACTGTTGTAGAATTTATTTTTCTTCGAAAAATGTAACACCAGTATAACATGTCCATTGGCTCTGCATTAGGTCTGTGTTATTCGAGATAGAAAATAGATAACTGAATGAGATCATGCTAAATTTATCAGTACCACAATAAAAAATAAAATATAAATTGGGCTGTTGGTTTCTGAATCGAACTACTTTCTTGTACTGTTACAAATGTTAAGTAATCAAACGTTTAATTTTATAGGGTGTTTGAAATATGTCGAAAATCAAATTCCTTGTAAACTCGTAAATTATCCTAATACTATTTCATATTTCAATCCATTAGTGGTTCAGCGATAAGTCTTAAGACTTATAGTGGTCCGGCATGACCAGGTGGTTAGAGCGCTCGACTCGCAATCTGAGGGTCGCGGGTTCGAATCCCCGTCACACCAAACATGCTCGCCGTTTCAGCCGTTATAATGTGACGGCAAACCCCAGTATTCGTTGGTAAAAGAGTAGCCCAAGAGTTGGCGGTGGGTGGTGATGACTACCTGCCTTCCCTCTAGTCTTACACTGCTAAATTAGGGACAGCTAGCTCGTGTAGCTTTGCGCGAAATTCAAAACAAACAAAGACTTATAGTGCTAAAACCGGGTTTCAATACGTCATTTGTAACGTAGGTCTACAACATGTTATGACAGTGTACAAGTGTGAAGCTTGTAGAAACGTTAAAGTAATTTGTTCCCTTCAAGTGAACTGAACGCTGAATTACTTTCACCAGATAATTTAAATGAACACGCCAACGAAAGAACGTCACAACAAAGTGTATTCTTTGTGCGCAATAAATATTGATGAGGTTGTGTCCTAAAGTGTTTTAAACTCCACTTCAAATATATTCTTATATAAGCATGTATTTAATTTGTAAGACATATGTCGAAGAAAAATAAAAAATTTATACGTTTTCATACTTATTAGTATGAAGAAAAATCCAAATGATCTTGACTTACTTAGATGTTATTCCAAGAACACTAAATTGTAAAGGTTTGAGAAAAGTTGTTATCTCCAACAATATAAAACACTTTTCTTCAGTAAAAAATATTAAAAAATGCGTGTTGTTCCAAATTTTATAAGAGTTGGTAGTTAGATTGATATTGATTATAATGTGTATGGAACATGATATACTCTAAATCTAATTAAAACCCATGACCTGGTGGTTAAGGTGCTTGATTTGGGTCACGGGATCGAAGCTTGTCCTTGAACATTTTCAGCATTTTAGTCGTGGTGACATCATAATATGATGCCCAATATCACTATGCACTGGTAAAGAGTAATTCAATAGTTGTTGGTGGGTGGTGTTGACTAGTTGCCTTACCTCTAGTCTAGTCTATCAATTCAAAATTAGGGATAGTTAGCACAGATCACCCTCGAGTAGCTTTCGCAAAATTCAGTAATGCAAACTAATTATAACCATCTTCCTGATGGCTTAGTGGTAAGCTTGAGGGATTATCTAGCTATAATTTGGAGTTCTATACCAGCTTAGGCATTTTACAAATAGTACGTTTTGCAGATTTGCACTTAAAAGAACTCAAATCCACGTATTTTGCAAGTTGTTCAAAGTAAGAGAAAGGCAGTGTTTGGCATCTAGTTAAAATTGCATATATAAAGAAACTTGTACCAAGATGAACAAAACACTTCAAATAAAACGTCTACATCAAAGTAATGCTCTTGAATAGTTTTGCTATACATGCTTCATAACGTTAAGCTTCTGTTTTTAAACTTCTTGTGAAATGCTAATGTCTTCAAAACATTTTTTTTTACATATTTCGATAATTTTTGTAAATGTTCATATAGGTCTTCTTTATGGGGTTATGAACTTCTTTGACAGCCAGATGTTGAAAGATCATAAAGGTGTGCTAATGATTTT